TCGTCGTCGTCGTCCTCTTCTTCTTCATCCTCTCCATCGTCATCCTCCTCGTCGTTGTCGTCTTTCTCTTCGCCGCCGTCTACTTCACTTTCATCTTCACCATCAGCCTCTTCTTCTTCTTCTTCTTCCTCCCCCTCTACCGCAGTCTTAATTTCATTTTCCTCATCGAATTCCCTCTCCTCTTCCAACAACTTCATCTTTAGAAAAAAACTCGAACTAGAAAAATTTCGCTCTATTTTTTCCTCAAAATTTTCAGAAATTAGGAAGAGAGAGAGAGAGCGGAAGCTTGTTTGCTCTCTCTACCAGTAGCTTCTGCAACGGGGATCTCAGCCGTTGAAACGGGAATTCACGCGGATTGATGACGTGGAGCGTGATCGAACGGTCTAAATGAGAGAATTATGTATTTCTATGGTAATTGATTCCTTGCGCGCATCTTTTTCCGCTTTTCTTCCTCAGCTGCTTCTCACGTGCGAAAATTTTGTGTGGGGCAACCAAGGGGCTAGGTTAACGGTTTGTGTTTTTTTATTGGATAAAGTAAGCATTTAATACCTAAACTATTAATTTTGATCCGTTTTAATATCTAAATTTTTAAGTTTTTTAAGAGCATATTTAATGTTTAGTTTTGTTTCATTTTAGTACCCGTTAAAAATTTAACGTTAGGTTTTGAAACAAATTAAAAGTTTAGGTATTAAAATTGATAAAAATTGATAGTTTAGGTACTAAACGCGTTAAGTTTTTAACGACAGGGTATTTAAATGAAATAAAAATTAAATTTAGGTATGATTTTGAAAAACTTAAAAGTTTAAATACTAAAACGGATCAAAATTAATAGTTTAAGTATTAAATACATATTTTACTCTTTTCTATTTCTTCGAAACCATTTCCATTGCTTTGCATTGAGCCCATAAAATTGAAATCCATAGTTCAAAGGTTGAGTCTCTTTAGAGAATGTTCATTGCCATAGACACTCAAATTTTATTCGGTTAAAAATGAGTGACCTCTTCTCTAAAAGTTATAATTTAATTATTCAATTAATATATTATTATAAATAAATTACTCTGTTGTAAAAATTGAGACATAAGTCTAATATGACATGGTATAATAATAGTAGTCTTAGTCCTCAAATCTTATACATACTTTCGAAATAATTTAATAAAATTTAACTCTCCATAATAAAAATTCATCAATTTTAATATTTTTTGTGATACTATCAAACCAAACGAGTCGATCAGATCAAAACAAACAGTTCTATGATTGCATTATGCTATAAAACATCATATTACTGTTAAATTGTTATTATATAAAAACAATAGAAAATTAATATAATATTTTTTAGAGAATAAACAATTTAGGAGAAGCACAAAGATTAATTTGATTGAATTTGTAAAATTATTTTAAAATTTATTAACTGAAAATATAAATTATATAAATTTTGAGTCAAAAACTTACATCATGTGATTATTTCATCTAATGTTCGATGAAAAATAATATATTTACAGTACTATAAAATTAAGATGAATGGAACCCAACAACTGATTTAGTCAACTTTTATAGGCTTAGATTCTTGATTCATGTGAGCAATAGGGATGGCAACGGGGTAGTTTCGGGCCGGGAATCGTTTAAAATTTCTGTACCCATCTCCGCTTAAAAAATCGTGGGGATTTAAACGGGGATCCCATCGGGTAATCGGGAAAAATCGCGGGAAACGGATATCCCCGTTTAACATAAACGGTTATTTAAACGGGTATCGGGCTGTGTATATATATTTACATTAAATATATGAATATTAATATATTTAATTTAAATTAAATTTATTAATATTATATATATATATATAATAATTATTTTTAATATTTATCGGGACGGGTATCGGGCCGGGTATTCGGGTAATTGGGGCGGAGATTACCAAACCCGTCCTCATACCCATTTAAAACATTCGGTTTTTCCCCGTCTCTGTCCCCATTTATCATCACCGAACCCGACCCGTTTAATTCGATTTTCGATTTCTCCGACGAGTTTAGTTTTTTTTGCCATCCCTAGTGAGCACACAAGGAAATTCGGTCTCTCAAACACAAACAAAGTCCAATAAAATAAAGAGTAAACCACATGTTTAGTGTCTAAACTATCAGTTTGATTGTTTAGTGTCAACTTTTATTTTTTTTTCTAAATCGTACTTAACATTTAAATTTTGTACCATTTTAGTGCCTTGTTAAAAACTTAACATTATGTTTTGAAAAAAAACAAAAGTTTAGGTACTAAAAGGGGGAAAATTGATAGTTTAGGTACTAAATGTGTTAAACTTTTAACGATTGATACTAAAATGAAACAAAAATTAAACGTTAAATATGATTTTAAAAAAATTAAAAATTTAGATATTAAAACCGACCAAAATTAATAGTTTACGCTAAAATAAAAAAATACCCCATTTCATGACCTACCAAACTATAAAAGAAGCCATTTCATGACCTACCAAACTATAAAAGAAGATGAATTCAATAATCAACATAACCAGATCAAATCACCACAAACAAAGATGAATATCTCTTCTCTACATCTTCTTCTCACAATTTCACTTCCGTAAACCCAATGTGACGATGATCTCATAGACCGAATACGCAAAAAAACACCCTTTTACGACCTATGCATCTCCACCCTGTAATCAAACACCGACACCGAGGGCCTAGCCGGTGTGATGGCCGACATCCTTTTGTCGAACATAACCGACACGTTGAACTACATTCGAGCTCAGATAAACGAGACGTTGGACCCTAGAATGGAGAGAGCACTTGTTTACTGCGCGGAGCTTTACATACCTGTGGTGTAGTAGAATCTGCCGCAAGCAATCGATGCCTTGGGCAAGGGGCAATTTGAGTTCGCAAGCAACGGGATATCGGATGCCGCTAAGGAAGCCGATGCTTGCGAGAACAAATTCTCCGTGAGTACGAAGTTGGGGCCGTTAAGTGAGAGGAACAAGCTGCTGCATAGCTTCTCCTATGTGGCAGTCGCCATTGTTAAGTTGTTGCTCAAAGGGTTGGTGGCATGACTGTTAATTTCTTGTGGGATCATTCGCAACTATGTGAGAGAGTTTCAGTTTTCCACCATATAATTAGCATCTTTTGGTTTGTTCTTTGGGTAAAGTACATGAATGGTCCCCCGACTATAGGATATTACTTTATTAAGTCTCTTGACTATTAAAAGTTACAAACTGGTCATTTGACTATAGCGCGTTGTTTTGTTGAGTCTCTCGACTATCAAAAGTTACAAAATAGTTATCCGACTATTTATTATGTTCCAAACTCATCCTTTTCCGTTAAAAAAATTGACGGTATTTTGAGCTCAACATTAACTTGTTGATCGTGACATGATAAAATCTGATCTCAGAATCTCGAACGACTATCATATCCCAATCATCATGTTAACATCCGACTTAGACAACCACCAATTTGTTAACGGAAAAAACGTGTTTGGAACATTATGAATAGTCGAGGGACTTAACAAAGTAACACTCTAAAGCTTGAGGACTATTTTATAACTTTTAATAGTCGAAGGATTTAATAAAGTAGTATCACGTGTACTTTGCCCGTTCTTTTTTGTCTTCATTGTTTCTTGTTCCCCTCTTTGTTGGGTTGCTTTTGTATGGTCTGAGACGATCTCTTTGGTCCTGTCGAATTTATTTTTTATTAAGTAAAATAAATATTTAATTAAAAAAACATAATGTTTAATACACTTTTAGGGGCATAATATATTATATATATATTTTTATAATATAATATAATATAATATAATGTGAATCTTCAATGAGAGAAATTTGAATGACTAGTATGCCAGAATGAGATTTTATTTAAACACAGAGATCCCATAACAAAACCAGTAACAGATAAGCCAATGTGCAGGCAAATTATTGAGCACCATATGACCAAAGATTTACATGGTAATTTAACTCACCCCACAACCATCACATACCATGAACATAAACAAGGGATAAATCACCACCAAAATTATACTCCATTGATCAGTCTTACTAGGGCTACAAATGAAACAACATTGCACCTTTTGCCCAGAAAATCTTCCCCGACTTTTTGTTATGACTCGAGAGAATCGGAGAAGAACGAGAATCAAAGAAAATAAAAACAGAGACTGAGAGAAGAAGATTAGGAGAAGAAAGAGAGATTGAAGAAGAGAATAATTTCATTCAAAATAGGCATAGCTGATTCTATACAAGGTACTGGTTTTATTTGTTTACAATAGTACTGAGAATCTAAGATGGCCAGGTTGTTGTCCTTGCTAACCGATTCTGTTTCTCTTAAGTAGGTAATGGTCTTCCAAGTCTGGGCTGACTCGCATAGCGTCTGGGTCAGTTGAAGGTTAATTTTCTCCATGCCTCTCACGTGCGGGCTGATTCAATCCCCAATTCCTTCTTTCAATCCCTAACCTTTGCCTCCCCATCCCCAATTCTTCTTCGATTCCTCGTCCTTCTTCTCCTACTGTGGCAATTCCTTCGCTTCTAAACCCGCAACCTGCTCGACTGAAGTGAACGTAAGAAGGCGGATCAGAGATCGTTTTTTGTTTTGTTTTGGTAAGATTAAAATTCTTTTGTTTTAAGTCTTGAAAGAGTTTCAGAATAAACAGCATATCAAAATGCATATATTGAACTGTTTTGCCACTATTACTGTTACGTACTAGGGAGATGCGGAATGAGCTTGATCTCGAAAGCTTGCGGATAAATTCCCCGAGAGCTGGAGTGAATTTGGACTCCCCTCTACTGCCGCAGCTGGCAACGGAGATCCTTGGTAACTTGTCGGTGTGCCTCCGGGCGACATTCCTGTGTAGAAAAATGAAAAGGAAACGATCTAGTCCATATTGACAGTTTAGATACCTTGATCAAGCACCTTTTACCAGTAACTCTAAAGTCGAAACCTAAAGCATAGTAAATCTAATATAGTCTAATCACGCAAGCCAAGGATTTGCATATTAGTGAATCCAAAACATTACCTTGAAACAGTATGACAAGACAAAAAATGACAGTAAACACCATGGCAAACATGTTGCTGCTGCTAGAAGATGTTGGCTTGGCGGCACTAGCAGCGTTCGATTTCTTCAAGGCTTTCATCCGTTCGATCCTCGCACGCTTCAGCTTTGCGAGTTCTGCAATCTCCCTAATTAGTTTAAGGTCAGCTGCATCCAACGATGGGGCTCTTGGTGGCCTAGGAGGTTTAGAAGGTTTCTTATGACCCAAGCTTTTAAGCTTCTCCTTCACTAACATATTCTGCTTAACATCTTTACTATCTTGTCCCTTCACATCCATGCTCTTCATGGACTGCGAATTCTCTGCATTAACCCTACCGGAATTTGAAGCGCCGCCGGACAAAGACGCTCTATTATCCGACCCCTCGGTAGAACCGCCTTCCACGACCTTAGCAAGCAACAGTTGTCCGACAGTTGTGACTTCATTTTCAAGGCCGAGTTCTAAATCTGTAAACCTAGAAGCCATTTCATCCATGGAACACACTCCGGAATCTAAATTCCCAGTCCTGAAATCTTAAACTTTGGGAATGAGAACAAGAAACTTCAACTTGAAGAAGCAAATATGGTAACTTTTAAGCTTTAAACTCACACGACAACAGCTTTTCAACAATGCAATTTAACGCAGTAAACAAACCTTAATATCAAACTCTGCATCCATTAACAGAATACAAAAATTTCAAAAGGTAATTCCCAAATGCCAACAAAAACACCAATACAACCTGGAACTTTAATCAAAGAGGATCAAAAGGACAGATTTCATATATAAAAAAGCAATACAAATAAAAATAATAATTGAAACCCCGAAAAGATACCAATCAAAACCCAACATTCATCGCTACCCAATAAAGAAAAGAGCATCGTTGATCAAACAAAATACCTTGGAAAAGAAAGCAAGAAGAACCCAGATCCGATGCTAAGGGGAAAAGACCAGAAAACGAGTTGGAAATGAATTCGATGTAAAGATAAAAGAGATTTGGATTCAAAAAAGCACACACACAGAGAGAAAGGAGAGGATGAAACTTGGAAGTTGCTTGAATTAAGCGAGAGATTGAACAGAATGGTAACTTCTTTTTCCCTGTAAGCAAACAGAGAGAAAGAGCTACCATTACTTTGGTATTGTTGAGATTTAAATATAAAATCTCACCGACACATGGCAGTCCCCACCGGTGGGCTTCCCCCTTCGTTTTCTCCTTTAAACTCACTTTCGTGGCCATCAGTGGTCTTCTCTTCTTTGGTCTTTTCTAATATCTCCTTCTTCGGCACATTTTTGTGGTGCTTATAATAGGTTTAATTTGGGTTTAATCCCTCTCCTACGTTAAAATACAGATTTAGTTCTTTTATTATTATTATTGGTTTAACTTAAAAACAAGAAATCATAGTTTTTTATTTAAGTGCTTAATTTTTGGATAACTTACAATTTTAATACTTAAACTATCAATTTTGATACATTTTAATACTTAAACTTTTATTTTTTTTTTAAACCATACATAAATTTTAGCTTTTATTTTATTTTACTACCCGCCGTTAAAAATATTAGTTTTTGTTTCATTTTAGTACACTCGATCCAAATTTAACGTTAAGTTATGAAAAAATTAAAAGTTTAGATACTAAAACGAATTAAAAATGATAGTTTAAGTACTAAATGATGCGTGATTTATCCTAATTTTCCTCCCAAAATAAATACATAAAATATTCACTTTTTCATATAAATTATTGTCTTTAATGGTGTTTTTGAAAAAGAATAATAATGTTATCAATTTAAACTTTGTGGATCACATTATTATAAAATTATAAAAATTAAACTAAACAAATAATGAGCAAACTATTTCTATTAATAAATTGGGTAAATTATACCGTTCCTCGTTAAACTTTACTATCTCTCTTATTTTACTCACTGTACTTTCAATTTTTTAATTTGTTCACTGAATTTTACATATTGAATCGTTTTACTCACTCTGTAGTTAACTCTCTAAAGTTATGATGATGTGTCATTTTTTATTATTTAATATAAAATAATTAAAAATATTAAGGATAAATTACATCATTCTTCACAGAACTTTATTATATATCCTATTTTACTCACCCAACTACAAAGAAGATGATTCAAAACGTCTTATTTTTGGTGTATATTTGATTTTTCCTGAACAACGTCATATTGATTCTTGTGCTATGTCATAACACCGTTAAAAGGTAACGACGGAGTGAGTAAAATGATTCAACTTTAAAGTTCAATGAGCAAATTAAAAAAATTGAACGTACATTATGTATAATATGAGAGAGAGTAAAATTAAGAGAGAAACGGTGTAATTTACCCTAATAAATTTTTTAAGTAGCACCAGCCATTGAACATGGTTTTTAATTAAAAGTGGAGACTATCAATCATTGTTGAACCCAACACGTGGCTTTCAATAATAATTTGTGATTTATCAAACAAAAAAGGTATATTAAAAGATCCTTATTTAATAATATACTAATATCAAACTTTTTAAATTAGTGTAATACAAAATATTAACACTAATATTATTTTTTAGGTCGCCAGTAATGCTATTTTTACAGGTCAAAGGCAATATAAATATAGCAAAATCATAATTAATAAATAAAGCAAATGTAGTTTTCTTATGTGCTAATGGGAGTACATTTTATGTATGTAATTTTAAGCAATTAGGTCATTCAAATATATCTAAGTTCGAACAATTTAATCTGCATATATGTAAGTTATCTATATTTAAAATAGGATAAAAACACTACTTTGCAATTTAAGAAATAAAATGTGAAAGTGTAAGTTAAGAATAAGATACACTAACATTTGATGATAGCAGCACTAATTGATGGCTTCGAGGCGAAAACATAGAGACCAAGGTCATTCTTGTTGATCATACCTTTGTCAATCCTAGATTTGTAGAATTGGTCCTGGTATGCAATCAACATGTTAACTTGCTTTTCTATGTCCATAAAATGCGAACGAAAAGGTAACGTTGACGATGTTATACCGTCAAATTGGAAATGAATTGAGGTACGATACTATCTTTAACCAAGGCCACCGCACAACCACCCCAGCCGGCTCCGGTTAACCTCGCTCCTAGCACACCGTTATTTCTGCAAACTTTCTACGGGCAGCTAGTTACATAAAGAAGGAAAGATAATCATGTGGACTCGCCGTCATAACAAAGTATTTTCAGTGTTCCATGAAAAGAGAACCGTAGAGTGAAAAGCTTTATCATGATGCATAGTGAGTCAAGCATATTGAATGACTCTAAAGTCTAAACATATTGTGGTTATTGTACCTGCATTCATAGAGAACACTACAGCTGTGGTGGCTTTCGTTCATCAGATCACCGAGCTTCTTCAGCTTTTTCTCCTCGCTACAGAATGAATTATGAAACTAATAAAATTGGCAAAATGAGTTTAGTTGGCTGGGAGAATGTTCGAAAGATTTTCAGCCCTAATCAACACAGTCATATATTGAAATGTTCCCCAAGAACTCCAATCAGCTGAGGTTCAATCTCCAGGCACGGGAATATATCTCCATTGCACCAGTAAAATATCACCATATGGGAATACTAAGGAGTTGTATTCCTTTAAATTTTTACAAGAACTTGCGGAAAACTATAGCTATTGAAGTCACCTTAAGTTCGATGCCACAGTATCCTTCAACGCATGAACTCGGTTGGCTTCAGAATACACACGAGCAGCTCTCTGGAAAGTAGGATAAAGTGACGAATGAATACAATAACATAAATTATGATATTGATTCAAAAAAAACAGTTCCGTTCGACTTCAGCCTATGAAAAGTACCTGATGCAACTCGAAGTGCTTGGCTGCTTTTAGCACATCCAAAGAAGTTGGGTTATCACCCAAGATTGATTGAAGATCCTTCTCGGTGATTTTCACAATTTCCTCAGAGGTATATGGCTCCTCCTTCAAATATTTCTGCAGCAAAAAGGTAAAAATATATTTTCAAATGATGGAAGATAAATATCAGCAACTGAGATATAACGAATAAATAAATAAACACCAGAATATTGAGGAAGAAGGAAAAAGAAGAGATAGAAACCTTGACAGCAAGCATAGGATCATTAGAACTGCGACCTTTGGCAAATTGAACACATAAACCTTCAACATCAGAAAGAGTTTTGACTTTTTTTATTGCCTCGTGGGACTTCATTCCCAGCTTTATACTGAGCAAGATCTGGAATTTCGGAAAAGCGAAAGAAAAAGGCACCTTGCAAGTATTCCCAAAACAAAGACGACAAAAACACCCATGAGGCACAAGAATCCCACAAAAGTGCAATCTCAATATCCTCATTTTTCACATCAGCTAAGGTAGCTTACAGATAAGGAAATGTAACTTACAGAAGCCAATCGACATTCAACAACTCTGTTATTATAATTTGTAGCAGCTGTAACAGCTTTTTAAGATTCTGCCAATGAATGAGCTATTACAAAGGTACCTCCAGCAGAGAGTTTCACATCAGTTGCACGAATAGGATTGAAATCAATAAGCTCAGCAAACCCATTTTTGGCCATCACAGAGATTGACTGCAACCATGGAACATGTAAGGAATGGTGAACATTTTCAGCAATAACATGTTCAGCTTGATAAACACATGATGACTCAGGAAAATCGAATTACAAAGTAAGAAGGTAGAAAAAGTATAACCTGGTCCATCCCACCAGACTGTGTTCCAATGTGCTGTTCACAATCACATGTAACTTGGGCAATTTCATTCTGTCAAGATAATGGATATTAAAATTTCAGAATTGGACTTGTGACTACCAAAGTGAAGATAACATACCTTTGGAAAGTTAACACCAAAAGCAGCCATGATAGAAATTGTGGATGAGCAAACAAAAGCTGTAGAGCTTGACAGACCGGAGCCTAGAATGAAAATGCACGATGAGAGTAGAGTTTTCTATAGGATCATACAACCACCATCATGTGAAGGTAAACTTTTATTAATTTAGAGCCAAAGTCTCAGTCTACTTGTAAATGATGTAAAAGAATACGTACAAGAACTGTTCCATCAATAAGAACATCAAGACCAACTGGCACGCCAACGTCCACTCCTTTTGACTTGGCATATTCATAATAGCCTTTATACCTGGGGAATGTGGGAAATACTAGCATCATCATTTTGCAAGGTATCATAGAAAGTTAGAAACATATCGACAGCAAAAATCTATGCCATTTTAAAAAGAAGTTTCGCATGTGTGGCAAAGAATATATACCAAATTTAAATTAAAAAGAACATAAAGGGTACAAAAGAATTCAATATCTCACCCACAAAGGAAATAGTGATCCCATCTATGGTTCTTCAAGTCGCTTGCCTGAAGAATCATGCATGATTTAATGCAACCAGGAAATGGGTGTCAAATACATGAACTCTCGGAGAAACAATTAGCAAGTTACATAACCAATTCAATAACCAAAAGAAATTGTTGAGGAAAGAAGTGTCAAACCTGGTTAGGATCAGCAGGTTAGGTACAAGTAGTGTACTTATCATTGACATTAGCAATTCGGAGAAGCTTTTCAGCCTCTCCTTTGTGCTGCTTTCGGATCGCCACAATCGTGTCTTGCCGGATTGCCGTTGGCAACACCGAGTATCCTTCATAGTCAATATGTTCCCCAATCAGGTTCACTCTCTCTGCAAGTAAAAATAGCCATTGGAAATCAAGGAATTCAAAAATCACCAGTATTCAGAATTAAAGGATCCAAAGAGTAAGAAAGTTAAATTAAACTGTCTATTTCTCTCACAATGCTTATCAGCAAACAATCAATTCGAAGTCAAACTAAACAGTGTCTACCACAACATATGTACACACAACACAAGCATATAAGAGAGAAGCACTTGCACTGATGAAAAAAATAGCAAACAAATTGTTAGATTTTTTTTAAAATTTATTCAAAATTCAACGTTCGTGATCAACATGAAATCTAACTACGAAAAGAACATATACATACGAACATACAAAAGCAGACCTGGAGATCGAGCAAAGACCTCGGGAGCGTGGCCGAAAACTTCAAGAAACTTCGATTTCAAATTTTCGAATAGAAGCTTAGCTTCTTCGAGCTGAGATCCTTCACCGTAGACCGGTTCAAGTGAAGAATAAATAGGAACCGGAAGCTCAGCGTGGTTCGCCTTTGTTCTCTCTCTCCCTGGATCACCTCTGTTTTTTTTTCCTTTCAGTGATTACTCACTTCTTTCTCTCTTTTTCATCTTACGTGGCAGATTTGAGACATCCCCATAGATGTCAACTATTTTTATATATATAAAAAAAAACTCACATAATCTTTATTTCTTTGAATTGTTATTTTATTTAATTAATGGGTAAACTACGTATTTAATTTGAATAAGAGCCACTTACAAATAAAAATTATTTATGTATTAATTAAGAGAAGTTGTATGTATAATTCAAGATTAGATGTGTACTTAAAAATCTCTCCTTTGTCATTGCCGAATCCAGTGTGTCGTCTTTCTTTTTTCTATTTGCACTATTGTCCGTCTACACCGCTCACAAAAAACATAGTGATGATGGTTAATTTCAGCAAAAATACATGGGATTAAGAATATAGGGATTTAAGATTTTGAAGTCTTTTAAAAAAAGGTAAACGTGTTTAATATCTAAATTATCAATTTTAGTCTGTTTAAGTATTTAAACTTTTATTTTTTTTTAAATTATACTTAAAATTTATTTTTTGTTTCATATCAGTACTCATTCTAAATTTAACGTTAAATTTTGAAAAAATTAAAAGTTTAGGTACTTAAACGGATAAAAAATGATAGTTTAAGTACTAAACGTATTAGATTTTTAATAACATGATACTAAAATAAAACAAAAACTAAACGTTAAATATAATTTAAAAAAATTAAAAATTTAAATACTAAAATGAAACAGAAACAAAAACTAAAATTTAAAATAAAAAATCAAACTACGTACCATATATTTATTAAATGACGGATTTCATTGTAATCATTGACAGTTACGAAAAAAAATAAAAAGATATGATTTAAATATTTATTTTCCAATTAAATAAAAAAAACGTGAAATTATCAATTCGATTTAAAAAAAATTTAGCTCAATTGCTTATGTTTTGACAATAAACTCAATTTCACCCAAAGACTTTACTGCAATTGTTATAACTGACCAAAGTTGGAAAAAGGAAATGGACATACAAATAAAAACACAATCCCCAACTATATCATAGTAAAAACAGCTGTTACGTATGTCGAAAGCTCCCACCAACATAATTGTGTTTCTCACTTCACTGAACCAAGAAACCAAGGAGTGGAGGAAAGTGTAGATAGGGAGAGACCACGGAGTGAATTTCTCGATCGATCGAGAAATATATGGATGAAATGTCGACCGGAACATAAAAAAACGGGGGGAAGCAGCATGCTTTCCTCCAACTACATCAAACAATGGTCTCTCTAAGCTCATGAATCCTTGGTTGCGGAAGAAGTAGCGGTTTGACGGATTCGACGTTGATGAACATCCCAGTTATACACACGTGCGATAGTTACCTGTATGGAGGTAATAAACTAATAAGAACCAAAAACAAAACACATGCTGACCAAATACACACGCTCAGCCTGTACTACCTGAGTTATGGTCACTTGATCCCTCAAGAACTGCAAATCAGCTATAAGAACTTCCAGACTTGCTTTAGCGTTTTCCGAATTCTTTTTCAGTAGCGAAGTGGCCTGCACATGCAGAAGTTAATAGAATTACTTTACTCTTTTTCTGTTAAAGCACGCGAACAGTTAGTGACCAGTTATGACTATTGCACCTCTTCGCATGAATATTCCAACATGACATTTGCTCCCAGCCATAAACAAACTGAATCGTTGTCCTCAATGCGTGCCCGGGAATATATTCCTTCAGAGACTTCAAAATCAGCAATAAAAGCCTATATAAGCCAAAGGTAACATTACAAACCATAATCATACACGCAACACATGTAAGAAACAAAGAGGTCTAAATTCATCTTCAAGCTTTTTTCATAAAAGCATGCAACCGTAGGATTTGAGAAGTTCACACGTAAGCAACCACAATATGAATGTCTTATACAGTTCAATCCCAGCATTAAAGTACAAAACTTAGACACGAACATTAAGAATTTCAAGCAATACAGGCCCATATGCAGCAGATCACAAGTTCACCGAGTCACAGTCACATGAGACTTTCATGCTATATAGAAGCCAGAAACTCAGAGATAGAGTAGTCATTCGCATGAGCTGCAACTCAGATTATATTCCATAGAAATAAACAAATCTGATAAGTAAAATCATTTCTATAATATCCAAAATTCCAAAAAGAAATGAACAATAAATACTTCTTTTTAAACAGAAGAACCACATTGTCAAAGTCTAAGGTATCAGAAAAATACGAACCTCGCCAGTACCCTTCTCAGCTTGTAAAGTGACAACCACATCCAAGCATTTCTCAATATCAGGAATTTTTGCCTGATGACCACAAAAATAAGGCATATTTGTCAAAATCCATGTGACATGTCTGCATCTTTACGCAACATATATTAAGCATGAATGAGAATGTCTAGCCTGGTTGAATCTTAGGAAGGGAATGAACATAGATTAACCCAACATACTAAGCAGAGCATCATAACATAACATGGTACACATAAAAGCTTACTTCCATTCGGTATCTAAGAGTGAAAGAAAAAAAATGGACAGATATACTTTCAGCCTATGATCCTCGGACTCTCCAATTTTTTTAAATACCCGTGTCCGACTAATGTCTAACAAATGGATACGGGGATATGACCTCCAAGAGTCCTCCATATACATGAAACCCATACAAAAGTCTATCCATGCCAAATTCATACCAAAATTCTATATTACTTGCTGTTTACTGCCTTGTGGTTCGTAGCCTTATCCCGTGTTCCCTCTACCTTGAAATTAAAGTGACATTGAAACGGTTTTGGTTTGTGCGATAACCCATGTTTCCTCTATCGTGCCACTAAAATGCATGGTTGAGACTGAGGAGGATTTTCCACATGATGTGAAAATGGGATGGTGGAGGTTGGTTTTTGATGGGGAACCACCACTATAAATAGCAATAGTCTGTAGGTCTCTATGCACATAAAACACAAGCAATTCATTTAGCGCAACTATACCATCTAGTGAGGTTCTAGAGTGCTTAGAAGGCTTTGGTGTTTCAGTTTCTTGTGCAGCTAAATTCGACGAGCTTGACGGTGGTGTAACCACATCTCAAATTGTAGCATTCGATCTAGACAATGACCGGAGGTATTTCTGTTTGGTCTTTTTTGCTGTGTTTGGGACTTTATGCTCATTCTATTCTTACACTTACACCCAAGTCCAGGTAACATGACTTTTAGCAGTCAAAGCCTATACATAAAGCGTGAAATAGTGAAGGAAATTCTAGACGTTAACAAGTCAAGTTCTTTCCAATGATATCATGCTTTTACAAAACACCATTCAAAATGAAATTGTATGAACTAACAACCATTTTCCCAATCAAATTCACAAACACAGGAGCTTATAATATTACAATACTTACTAATTTCAGTTCTATTAAATATTAGAGATATTTTCGATGGCTATGATTATTTAGTTTCCTTAATGTTTTAAATCAAGATCTCAATACAATACCTGAAGACCTCGTTGCTGAGCAAGAAGTTTCATCTCAACCAACTTATACTGCTGAAGCCTGCAAATTCAATAAGCTCCAACCAAATAAGCCTACGAACTCTTCAATACCAACTAAACATGAAACCCAAACAGAACCCAAACTTTATAAAATTGAGAATTAAAGGAGGGACCTTTCTTGCAGAAAAGCGAGGGTGGAGTTGACATCGAGGGCAGTTTGAGAGAGATAAGTCTCTACATCTTCTACGAACTGAGCTCCCGGAATTCCTCTCCTCTCCGTCGTCGTTTTGGGGGATTCCGTTGAAGACGAAGATGCAGCAGCCGCCATATTTTGATTGCTTTTCTCGATTGAGGAGGAGAAAACCAGAGGGAGAAAAATCACGCCGCCGATCGGTACAGTGCAAGCTTTCACATAGGCCTTTGGGTTCGTTGCTGTTCGAATGACTGAACCAAGGGAATGGAGCTTGGGTTTTTGAAAGTGGAGAGGAAGACGCACCGTAAAGGTCAAGTGAGATTGCGAAAGATAGAGATGAGATAATGCGTCGCGTACGACGTCGTTTAGAAAGTGGAAATGAACAAACGAGCGCAGTCGAATATGGGCTAAATCTGGTTTGCGTCTGGTTTTTTCTTTTTGACTAATAGGGGAAATGGACAAATTACATAGAAAAAATAGGGTAAGAAAATTTTATTTTTGAGATCTAACGATATTTTTAATATTGATTTAGAACTCATCACATTAAAATGATAAATTTTAATAAAATATTATTTTTATTAATTTTTATCATATCAGAGTAGAAAATTTAAATAAAAAATATTTTTTTATTAAAATTTGTTATCCTAAAGTGACGAGTTCCAAACCCAAATATAGGACAGACTCGAGTTGGATATCCTTCAAGCTCTCGCCTAACAAGCTTCACTGAACACACAGAGAGATGCACCTATAGAGCTATCGAGTGAAACTACAGTCATGGGTTCGGTATAGATCTCCGTTAATCAAAAAACGACACGCACGTCGATTCAAAACCACAACCTATACCATACCCTGACCGTGATTTCACTTGACAAGCTTTCCCAAGCGAAGACGAAGCTAAAGTATCGGACAAGCTTTCTAGGTTGCAATTTCCATCAAGTTCGAATCGATTCAAGTTAGATTTTTTAAGAAAGTGAGATCTGTTAGAATTCAAGTTTGGATGAAAAGGTGATAAACTTCGACACAATCTAAGATAATAACATAATTTTTGGATCGGACCGAGTTGAGTCATGTTTCTATTCTAAAATTTTAAATGAGAACGGAGTCGAATGAAAGATATAATTTTCGGATTGGGCAGACTGAAAGATATATAATTTTCAGATCGGATCAAATTCAAGTAAGGGATACACATTTTTCTGGTTGAGTCGAGTTTACCCAAAAAGAAATCAACCAGATCCGATGTCATCCATATTCTAGCATTGGTCCTTAGTGTTTTCCCTTCAACTATGAAATGGAAATTTAAAATTTACTTATCAAATCGAAATTTAGTTATGTTGATCGATTGTGTATTTAGACGCTGGATTGACTAATAATTTTTTTTTTATAATTTAATTATCGGTTAATTTGATTCAACATAGATTAACTAATTGAAAATATTAAATATTTAATATATTATAGATATTACATAATATTTTAACCCTAAACTAGTTAAGAATAAGACTCAACTATATACTAGATTCATTAAATATTCAAAACTCAATCGAATGTTAGAATAATATCTCTATTAAACTCAAATTAATCGTTTGAGATAAAATTTACAACAAATTAGACGAACTTTGTTTAACTTAGTTAATATTTTTTTTTAAAAAAATCTAATTTAATTAACGATTAAAGGAAAAATTAATTAATTCGATAATTTAGTTCGACCACTAATCAAATTAAACGATTAAACATGCGTTAGTCAAGGTGCAAGCTAATAGGAATAACAACATGAAATTAAACATGCATGCAAGTGTTAAAATATAAATGAATTTTTTTTGGCTATCCTCCGGGTTCTAACGTTTTGTCTTGATTAATCCGAATCGACTTGCGTCGCACACCTGATTTTAGTGAGTAAGTCTCTCGGTAGGGATTTTCGACATACACGAGAACTCAAACACGAGATTTTGCTTAAACGATATCAAGTTGTTTACCACTTATGCATCAACTCATGTAAATTATAGTTGTTCGGTTCGGAACTGGGCATTAACTTATACAAATAGATCATGTATCATAGATGCATGCCTTGGATGCTGTGATGACGCTGAATTTGGTGCCTAACTTGTGCTGATTGCGGCACTTCTAAAACCCCTCTCTGGAGAGGCGGTCCAGCCGGTCCAAAGGTATTAACCGATTCAACGTTTTTTTCATCTTTAATCTTTTATTTTTGTTTTGTTTAATATTTTTTTATTTCGATTAAGTCATTATGCAATGCATGGGGGATCAGGAGCGGGAAGAAAAGGAGGAAAATCATAGGGTTGAAGAAGGGAGGAGACAAGAAATCAAAGAGATCATCAAATAACCCCAAAAATTCAGGGGACAACTTGAAGCAAAGATTGATGTCAGTGGGAAGGGAAGAGAAGTTAGTCTAAACGCAATATACTTTTGGTCTAAATCTACAGAAAAGTTAGTCTACTGCAATCAAATGGTTTAATTTAACGTAAAAATCCAATTATAAACGAGGATCCTATGAAAATTTACCAGGATTCAATGCCCAGACTTGTGTCTAGAGCAATCAAATTGGTACATGTACAATCACAAATCAATTCCAAGTAAATAAAGGAAGAGCATATATCTTCTGTTTATTGGATTTAGAAAGCCTCCAATGGCCCCTGCGTTTAGAAACAATCCTCCACAACTCGGAATGCAGCTGCAATGATCACGCTAAAGTTTAGTCGAACAGAATTTCTTTGCGTATCTGCAGGCCCTGCAGTTATCTTCCGATGGCGACTCGTCCGTCCTGATTATACAATCATCTGGTCCTGCCATGGTGAAAAGACGATACTTATAAAGGAACTTGCGATTTTCGACTTCTCGGAAGGGCAACAAATCCAGTTTCTTTTCTTGAAGAAACATGAACTCGAGGTCCCGATGATTGGTTCAAAAGAGATATGTACATAAATGCAATGATCATGACAAAAACTGGCTAATGATGGTAGGTTGTCTACGCCGGAATATTATCCAGGGAATACCCATCAAAGTCGAACTCATTTTCAGCTGGCGCAATGCCTTGTTGCTGCAGGAAAATCCAATTTTAAATGTGAGTATCCCCATCGATAAGTAAATAATAAGAATAAAGAACTAACCTGTTTCAGAAGAGCACTCATGAGATCCTCTTGTCCATAATGATTGATGAATAGACTGTCAGGGTTTACATCTGCAACATTCTCGGTCTTGACCTGAACTGTATTGTCAACAGGAAGGGAGTTGAGATGCTGATTGACATTTAATGGATTCCCCGGCTCTGTACCATCTGCTGAGAACATTGCCTTGCTTACAAAGGCCGCACTCCGGTTTTGTCCGTTCATTTGGCCCGAAGAAAACCCTTGTTGAACTAAAACCGATTGCGAAAGATCAAGGTTGCCTTGAAGAGAGTTTGAGTGCCGAGTGTCTTCAAATGTCATGCCTGCATTCTGTAGCTCCCAGTTTTGGGGTTTATGTTGATTCAAGTCATCAAATATATCATAACTTTGCATGAATCCCACTGATCCTTTAATCTCCGAGTTAAAATCTTCCTGAAAAGTCCCTTTCGGTATGCGACCAGACATCCCCGGTGTACATCCAAGGGGGAAACCATTACCAGGTAGTTCTGAAGCATGATTCATGGGGAAGTTCAACATCGAAGTGGTGTGCGGAACTGGATTATAACCGGGGGCTCGGACACTTTCTCGAATACCATTTTGTGTGGAGACATTAACAGAAATTCCATTTGATATCATAGGCTGCCCCACGGATAACGGAAGTCTGGGAGCATGAGCAAACTGTGGCTGACCCATCGGCATCAATAACGAATTATTTTGGCTACTTTGCACACCATGGGAAGCGACTTGCATATTTATCAATGACGAGTTATTTTGGCTACTCTGAACACCATGGGAAGCAACTTGCATATTTATGTTTCCTATTGATTGTGAAGTGCTAAGCTGCTTCGGCCCCATAGTCGTCGGAATTCCATGAAGTAAATTTATTTGCTTCGTACTATTCATGAGTTGTTGCTGCCCTTCTCCAAATCTTAACTTCGGATTATCGAAGCTAAAAATGTTTCTTTGATCAACAAGGGGCATAGGTATGCTCGATTTAGAAGTAGACTGACCAAGCGCAGCAGCTTGGAGTGTGGCGAGACATTGTGCAGGAAGTCGACCACCGGCAGCAAGAGCTTGAAGATCAAGCCCATTGACTGAAGATAGAGGACCAAAAGTTTCTTCTTGTGGATTCATAAAAGAAGTATTCAGATTACTCGAGTGCGGTGATACCCCACTCAGCCTTCTAAGATACAAGCGATATTTCTGATCACAAAAATAATGAAGCCTTTAATGTCAAAGAACCAAACAAAAATTCCGATTTCCGAGCATTAGTTATATGCAAGTGTAGTCAAGTAAAGAGTTTGATTATTTACTGAACATGTACCATACCTGAAGATGGCTGGCAACATTTTCTCTGGTAAGGCCAGGAACATTCATCAACTCCAAAATTTTCTTCGGGACAGCCTCTGAAGAAGAAGAAGATCAAACACCACAAGGTTAACGAAAACACCACGTAGCAAATATGATTGAAGAGAAACACCAAAACATCGACAAGCAGATAGTTGTGCTCAAAGTTAGTTCAAAACATATCCTTAATCTTGAGTTTATACAAACTACAATGTGATACGATATTGATAATTGAATATGTCGCTTAGATTTGCTCCATGCCAACGAACCAAGGGAACGCACTTCAACTCGGATTCTTGAGTTATTTGCCAGAATGAGCATACCTGTATTTGACACCCAGACCCGAGTCCGAGTAACATGGTGCAAAAGTACAACAGTTCCACCAGCGTAAAATAAACACTATCATTATATGCATATTACTAAGATGAAAAGATGGAGCATTTAGCAAGTAAACATCAGCAAAATGAAAGAAATGGGTAAAAGACTCGTACTGTCAATGCCTAGTTGATTAACTGCTGCAACAAACTGTTGATGGAGCTCAACGGACCAGACAACCCTCTGCTTCTTTAGTGAGGATGTGTCATCTTTATCATCAGTTTCATCCTCGTCATCCTTCCTCTTTTTTGAGCTTTTCCAATTCCCTTCGTTAGCCGAGGATGAGTAATCCGCCTCTTCAGATTGTTTTTGCTGCCGATCTCCTTCTTCTACACTTCCCGACTGCTCCAAGTCTTTCCACCCGTTCTTCTTCTTCCGAATGACATGCTGCCATATGTTCTTCAGCGCCTCGATGCGAACTGGTTTGATTAGGTAATCACAGGCACCGTGTGTAACACCCTTCATAACAACATG